CAGATCTTGAGCTTGGCTTGGCCTGGACTACATTACCTTGCAGATTTTGCCTATTGTGGATGTTTTAAGTAGATTGGGCTGACCAGTGTCCTAAGGAAACCCATCGAGACAAAGTACAAAAAGGCCCACACTGCCCGGGGATGCTAGCCACTCAGCAGCTAAACCAAGGTCACTTTATCATTCCACTACAAATGGAGCTTAAACTGTCTCAAACAACTACAATAGACCTCTGTGTACCACCCGTCGTACTAGTACCAGTGTTTGAGAACCACTACACACTCCCTCACACACCTCCGCCACTTTCCCTGCGGGGTGTATTTTCGGTCAAGTGTAACACAATGTCTGTAGCATTAACATGTTCGCCACAGCTTCCAGACCTCACAGCAGTGGATCTGTCAGGAAAATGTCATGCTTTCTCCTTCCAAATGTCGAGATGTATTAAGGGCTGCAGACAAATCTTTGCCATGCAAGCCTGGAGCTATAGACATGTAACAAGCAGTATCAGACTCAGTGACAAGACGGGATATGGGGACAAAAGGTGAGACACAGATTCACTGAAAAAAATAAAAAATACTCTGAGCTCACCACCTGAGGCAAGACGACAAGGCGTTATCATGGCATGATTCTGTACTGCTAAAATTAGGTCAAGAGACTACATAGAGAAAAAAAAAAAAAAAACAATAGTACAAACAAAAAGCGATGAGTGATTTTTCTATTTTTAAAAGGACCAACCACTGAATATTAATAGCATCTCATGATAATGTGTTTGTTAATATTCAGCTAATGAGGCTTTATTAACAACACAGAGTAATGTCATGTCAGTTTCACCAATGAAAACCTTAAAATTGTCTATAACTTGGTTAAGGTGCACAATGTAACTATTCAGGTGGGGTGTGGGTTGCATGTTATAGCTTTGTCAGAATAGTTCCAGATTACGGAATTAATATTATCTATATATCGCATTTAATTAATTGTTTTATTTATTTTTAAAAAAAACAAAAACAAAAACCTCTAAGTGAAGGTGCTCGGTGTGATCGGTGATCTGACTTGTGACTTGGCCTCATTGCGTCACTTACTAGTCTTCATGGAGATAGCTAATTTTGATGTCTATCAATTCTGTGGGACATTTTTGGTGCACCTGTCATAATAGCATTATTTTGAAGTGCAATATATTTCTGAAGTTAATATAGACAAGAGCAGATTTATACTACAAAAACTTCTAAATTATAAGTCTACAATACTGTAACAAAAAACATGAGCTGCAATAAATAAACAGAATACCAGGTTGTAAAAGCCTGATCTCATCAGAACTCAGAAGCTAAGCAAGGCCGGGCCTGGGTAGTACTTGGATGGCACATGGATCATTGTGTCCTTAGGCAAGACACTTCACATAAGTAAAAAAGTGGAGTGTACTTGAGTGTTGATTGAAGGGGCGGAAGGCGTAGATTGGCAGCCTCGCTTCCGTCAGTCTGCCTCAGGGCAACTATGGCTATAATAGTAGCTTACCACCGCTTAGTGTGGAGTGAATGAAAGATGAACTGTAAAGCGCTTTGCATGTCTTGAAAGTCACTATATAAAAGCAATGATTAATAGTAGTGCAATGAAAATGTACACACGATAAATACCCCAAAGTTAGTGTTCCATCTATCATGTATTGAACAACAGGTCTTTAACATAGTATAAAAAGGCAAACAAGATCATTTGAAAGCATGCATTTAGGTATGAATTAAGGCATTTTGTATTATAGTTATATTATTATTTTGAAGATTCTTGTGATACATACATTGTATTTCCTAATAATACATTTGCAGGAGGCCTATTATAACATGCATTTATTCAAAGAAGCATTTGCGAGACCAACTGCAGCTGTTTTAAAATGTCAAGTGTCAAACCTCAATCTATCAGTGTCTTTCCCCGAGGACATAATAAGTTTTGCTCTATGTAGCAGAAGTGTTATTAGACCATCATCACCTTGGGCTGTCAGTCATTACATCTTGTGTTCACTCCTCTGTTCACACACACACACAAACATGGGCCTGTGAACAAGTCAATTCACCAGGGCTCTCTCAAACTGACAGTAATAATAAGAGGTGTCTGATATAGATGTTACCAATTATACCAAGGCTCTATTCCAGTCATACATAACAAATTTATATAGAAGACCTTTCATATTATGTTAGAAATTGGTTTGTAACACTGTATGTGTCACTGAAAAGGGCAGCTTAACTTGCTAACACAATACATAATTGCACTGCACTGTCTTTTAAGACAAGTGGACTGGTGTTTAACTGGACAGGGTCTGGACATGAATGATGTATACATCCACAAAGACATTATCACTAGGCCTGTCATGATAATTACTATATCGAATTATTGTTCAATATATGATGGATGGAATAGTATTTTTGGGGGTCAATATTCATTGTGTGTACATTTTATTTGTACTAATGAAATTGTTTTGTAATTTTTATGGGTATATGATAAAATTTGAGACACAGAAGGTTGAATTAATAACTTCTATGACTCATTACAGCTGCAAACCAGTTACAACATATTTCATTCTGCTGTTTATTTACTGCAGCTAATAATAGATTTGGAATAGTTTTTGTGTTTAAATCTGCACTTGGGTTATTGTGTCAGTGACATAAATTATTTTCAATGTTATCGTTTATCGTCAGCAATATACTTCAGCAATATGTCACACTTCAGAATTTGTTATCATGACAGATCTAATGGTCACTCACTGATAAGACTGCACTGATGATACAAAATATATGAAAATGTCATTAATAGAACTTCCTTGCTAGAACGCTTTGATATCACAACTTCCCTAATAAACCATAACCAATTAGCTTCGCCCTCATTATGCAACATTATATCACAGAACATTACAAATAAACACAGAGGCCAATGGGGAAACAAAAATACAAATTAAATCAGGATTTTCCAAACGATTTACATTCCTTAAATATTCATGAAATGTTACAGCTCGGTAGCACATATGTCAATCATAGTAATATATTGTAATCAACCATCTTCATCCAAAACAGCAGCTCACAGCAAGAGCCTGCACAATGGGAATTAATATTTCATACCTGCGTATATAAAGAGCATGCAGATTGGGTGAGGGATTTAAATAAGTAAAACCCTCTATGAATAAAGTTAAAGTACAACTGTAATGACAACAACAATAATCTTAGTCTTCATACACAGTACAGATGACGCCTTTATATCAGTAAATAAATCATTCCAAGAAGGGTGAAACTGTTAAATTCCTCTCCCCATCTGCTGTATTATAGATTCTAAATGGGTCTAAAACTGTAATTGAGTAAATGATTTTCAGTGGCTTTGTCTCCAGGGTTAGGGAGGTCCAGTCTGTCCCCCAGCACAATACAATACAGGCTTTGAGTTAAAAAAAAAAAAAATCAATGACAGCAGAAGCACACACAATCTACTAGTAAAAAGAGGAGCTTAATGTTAACGCAAAGGATTATCATCAAAATAATAATACAGACTAGAAGCTATAAGTGACAAATGTTAAATACCTAAGTTGACAAATCCATGGAGAGTTGACTTAACACTTTTTAAAGCATATATAAAAAACAACACACAATGGCTCACTTGTTCAGACTTACTCTTCACAGTCAATAATGTTTTAAGGGGGTCCCTATGAAAGCTATGTTATGCAAAGTTAGTTCATTTGCATCAGGACACCATAAAAACAGTCAAGTCAATAAAAGCAAGAAAACTGCCTTGGGTGCACTACTGTGTTTGTGAGAGTTTTCCACAGATGCTGAAATTATGCAAATAGGGAGACAGCAAGTAAAAAGAAGCATTTGTCTATTTGTTAAGTCCCACATAAGTGTCATAAATGCACTGATACTTCTATGGCAATACATTCAGTGACACAAACATTCATCTTGGAGTTGACATAAAGAAAACATAAATCTATTAACTTAAAGATGATGTACTTAGTGGTGTTGTGGCCTAAGTCTGGTGAGAAAAATATCATCCCAGTTAGACAAAACTTTTCAAACCCTCCAAAGAACTTCTGTAATGACTTGTGTCTGACAATAAAGCTGTTTTGTTCTCGGCATGGACAAAATGAAAGATTGGACTTGGCATGGCTCTTGACTACTGACCCGCTTGTGCCCCCCACTGCGGAAACTAAAGGCTGCCAGACCAACAGACGCTGGCACTTTCTTTTGGGGCCTTTCTTACAATCTTAAATCAATATAAACCCCTGATGAATTAAAAGCTAAAACAATGGAAGTGTTAAGGTTAAATAATGTATCGCTTTAACGTATGGCTCTGGTAAAAAAACAACAACAAAAAAAACAACAACTCCAACAACATAAATAAAATAAATACATGAATAAATCTACAAACAAGATCAAATCTAAGCTTGTATAAGACACATACCACCTTATACTATTTTGTCCAGGTTCATTTTAGGTCAACACTACACAGCCAGTTGAATAGGCATCGTGAATAAAGTAACCAAGCATAAAGTCCATTATATCTGGTTGTCAAAAATAGTTCCTTTAGCATATTATTCATATTCAGTAGATATAACTTATGCCAGCTATCTATGGGGAAAACAGAAAACTCCTACGAGACAGCACTGTAACTGCAAGCATCAACAAACTGAGTTATCGAGGAGGAGCACTCAGTATTAATTTAGCCTGAAACCTGATATAAAGTACGAGTGAGATAAATTATTTTTGCGCAGTCAGCTGTTCGCTGCCAAAAACACACACATTCCCTCTCTGTGATCTTCTATGATATATTTAGTCCTCGACAACTGCATGCCACATCTGCCTTTCCTTTCAATGCCAGAGTCACAGCACATGGCTTTAAGCTCACTATCACATACAAACATCAATACTTCCAAATGTAGAGGTTGTCAATAGCTGAAAGAGTTAGATATATATGGAAGAGAGCACCTACGATTGCAACAAGCAGAAAATGTTGTCCTTAGGAAGAAAAAAGTATCTTACCGGCACAGAACGCGTCCACATGAGACACAGATCCACACACAAGTGAGGAGATGCCGAAAACACGACAAGAACCGCCTCCCGTGCCCCGACCAACAAATCAATTTTACACTCTCTCACCTCCCCGCCGCTGTGATGTCACTCATTCATCCGTTTCCCCCGTAGCCATGGCAACACTGCTGCGTGGTGGAGCTGTTTGGTCTTTTGCATCTGCCCCTTCACGCTTTTTCAGTGTCCCTCCCCCCAAACGCCAGACTCCAAGTTAAGCCAGCCCTCTTATCCCATCTGTGGTTACAGTTACACCCCCATGTCCATAAGGATCCACCCCCAATGGGTAAACTGCGATGGGGCAAGAAGAAAAGAAGGAGGGCACCAAGAAAAAAAAAGGAGGTGGTGCCACTATTAACCTCATTATCATAAAGTGTCCATTAACAAAGATTTTGGTTGTTCCTTTTTATAAAAATAAGTAGTGATAAGACTGAAAACGTAAAGAAGATACAATTATTTTGATTTCTGACCAAAAATATGTTTGCAACTTATTTTTTTAAAAATCACAATGATCACAAAGAGGCAAAAAAAAACAAAATTTTTTTTTGCCATCTTAGCCAACACTATCACCCAAAACCCAAAACAAAACAGGACACAGGATGTTCATGTCAATGGATGTCTGTAAATCCTGATACTCACTCACATGTGGGAAGTCCTGACATGGGTCCAGCAGTGCAGTAAGTGAGTGATGAATAGTTAATGACCTCAAAGGCCATTATTCCAGTGCCTCCCTAATAATCTGTACATTGACCTTGAAGACATAGAGACAGGCCAGTCAATGAGATAAACCAAGCAGAAAAACACAATAATACACCTGCATACATTTACTGTGTGGGTGCTCTTTGCCTACTACTACTACTACTACTACTACTACTCGCAATTTAGCCTAGGGTAACCAGACATCCTGGGACTTGGGACAGTCCCAGTTTTGAGCCCTGTGTCCTCTGTTCCAGCACATTTATCCAAAACCATAGATATTTTCCCATTTTTTCCCAGAATATGTTCCAGGTGTGCATATTTATTTTTGACCAACTTGATACAGAGAGGCATAAATTGTCATCTATTTGGGTTAAATACAGAAAAGCTGCTTAAAAACGACCAAAACATAAGGAAAATGTGACTATACTGACTCACATGTTAATCATGAATGGTCTCTGCGTAACAGTTTTCATTAATTACGCACTCGTTTCACAATTTTATGATTACCAGTCATCAAAAAAAACGGGGATGTCGCAGTTTTTTTTTTATTATGAAATTCTGGTCACCGTAGATTAGCCTTTACTAGTTGCATGCGAGGGTTCATTAATACAGTTACTATTATAATCCCCACCTTTACTTGAGGTCATCCGGCTGTGGTGACTGCAAATTTCTGGCCTTCAGAGCTCACTTCCATTTTAATTTCGCCATTTAAGCTGTTAATTAGTTAGCACCAGTTTTATGGCCACGCTGGCACCGCTGCTGGCGCACTGGCCCTACACGTGGATCTGCCAAGATTTAAAGTCGTCGCAACATTATTCAACTACTGGATAAAACATTTAAATGGTATTGGTACGAGGTGAAAAAATGACGAACAATAAAATGTCTTGATATATCGACATAATATGCATAATTTAAAACTGCTAGCTTAATCAATTTTGAGCATTGCATTTGCGTTAGCTAGCCTTGCCTCTTTACGTTTATATCTATTAAATGTTTGGATTGGATTATGGGTAGGGTAACCTGACATCCATTTACCCGGGTCAGTCCAAGTTTTGAGCCCCTGTCCTCTCCTAGCAGATTTATCCAGAACCACTGATTTGTCTAAGTTTTATACAAGAAATGTCCAAGGTTTCCTTATTGACCAATCTGATCCCTGCCAACAGTAAAGAGAGGCATACATTGTCATTTGTTTAGGTAAATTACAGAAAAGATGCTTAAAAAAATCACATATATGACTATGCTCACTCACATTTGTACTGAATGCATAATAATTTCCCTTATTTACGCACTCTTTTCACAATTTTATTATTACCAACCACCACAAACCAGGAATGTCCCACTTTTTTTTGTTTTGAAAATCTGCTCTTTTATGATGACGATGTCTAAGTCATTATTATTTTCATTGATTTCTAAGGATCATGCTATGAATCAACCAGAGTACGTTACCTTTGACCTGTGCTCCTGCCGCCTCTCCTCATGCTCCTCAGCTTTACACGCCTGTTCTCCACTGGGTCCATCATCAGGAGGTAAGTAACAGGCTACTCGGCTACTGTGACATAAGGTCAATGGCTCTTATAGAAACAATCAGACACAATAAGTATGATAGTCTGACCGCTGTCCACTGAAGATATGATCTCATCTGAAGAAGGACTGCACCCACCCAGCTGTGTAATCCAACTAGGAGCAATGCCATCACTTTATCATTGACTGTTGCCTCTTCCTTACACTGCTCAGTAAAAGAAATATATACATTGCCCTTCCTTTACTGTTATGAGTTGATTCTAGTTGCAGTAGTGGAACATTCTCCTAGTAAAGCATCATGGTTCAGTACTGATCTAATTTGATCAGATTAGAGCAGGAGGATTGACAAAGATGAACTCACAAACACACAGTCAGGTGCTAACTTCTGCATTAAAACTAGATCAAAGCACATTTCTTAAAGAGAATACTTAACTAGTGCTGTTTAAAATATTCGCCAGCTTCTGTCTCAGCGCCTGTACTGTAATACACAAGTATTCTGGACGTGTGGCGGCATTGGTTATAGGGGTTGGGTACACTATGGCCTTCTATGCAGCTGATGATTAGGAGTGAGAACAGATTTGTGTCATTTTTTTTTCAAAATGTAGTTGTTATTTCAAGTGTCTCTATGGTTATTGCTTCTGAATGTTTTCAAACTTATGTATTGTAAACATGTATTGAATTTAACATCAACAATCTTATCTAGAGTCCAGTTTCAGTACTGTGCAGAAACAGGTGAGAGGCGACTAAGTAACGCCTGCATACAGAGGCAAGTCCTGACATGCTCTGACCCTGACCCCTCCTGATTAGTCCTACTGACACACACACACCAATAATAGAGCTTCTACTGGCACACACAGTAAGAGGGTTCAAGGCTGCAGGCCGCGTGCCTCGGCACATGCCAACGGTAACACGCGGAAGTCTTCTATGAGATCACATGGGCACCAGCCTCGTCCCTAAACCAACAAAGAGCGGGGCTTGGTCTATTTGTCTAAGCTTTGCACCTGTTGTGGTTGAATCTATGCACACAGCTCTGCTTTGATGGTATTGTTTTCATCAGAGGCAGAGATCTAATAGGGTCTCATAGGGCTGCATTTGATTCCAGCATCCTGGAAGTGTGCCATCCCCAAATAACATGTTGCTGGCGCTGCGAGCAGGGTTTCCCAACACCTGTCATTAGCTCCAGTTCAGTTGAACTGGGACAAATACCCTCTCCTAACAGATTCTCTTCAACAACAGAGGTGAAAACATAAAGTTAAAAAACATAATCCTAAAATTCAGAAGTTTATTAATAATTAAATGTATGGTATTGTAAACCAGATCCGGTAATTAAATGAGCAAAACATCAGACCAGTTTTGCTGACACAAAATTGTAAAAATGTATGTTCTCTCTTTACAACATATTACTAGCCTATAAAGCAAAATGATATGTTTAATGGATTATATTTGATTCTAACCAGACTGAAGGGGCAGCAGATAACTGATAAAACATTTGTTTTCTGACCCTCAGGTGGCTCCTTCCTGTCTGTTCTATATAAAACATAAAAACACGCCTCTTTGTCTATGCAGGGACTTTTGGTTATGGTGATGCACAAGTCTGGTAGCAAGTTGGCTGTGTTATAAATAGACACATGGGGTTATAAAACATGACGGCTGACATCTGACTGGCATGAGGCTTTTTAAAACATGTTTGCAAACAGAAATCAAGATTACATTTACTTTGATCCAGTCGACAACAATAACACGAACCATTACTGTTCTACCCCTTCTTGAACCGTCACCTTATCGTGGTGGAGGGGTTTGAGTGCCCGAATGATCCCGGGAGCTATGTTGTCGGGGGCTTCATGCCCCTGGTAGGGTCACCCAAGGCAAACAGGTCCGGGGGGACGGGTCAGACGAAGAGCGGTTCAGAAGCCCTGTATGACAAGTGTACCAACAAGGCCAGTTACGTCGCCCGGATTGGCGTCACCGGGGCCCCACCCTGGAGCCAGGCCTGGGGTGGGTGCTCACCAGCGAGCGCCTGGTGGCCGGGCCTTCCCTTACGGGGCCCGGCCGGGCTCAGCCCGAAGCAGTGACGTGGGGCCATCCTCACGTGGGCCCACCACCCGTGGGAGGAGCCATATGGAGCCGGTGCAGAGAGATCTGGGCGGCAGTCGACGGCGGGGGCCTCGGCGACCGGATCTCTGGACATGGAGACTAGCTCTGGGGACATGGAATGTCACCTCACTGGGGGGGAAGGAGCCTGAGCTTGTGCGGGAGGTTGAGCGTTACCGACTAGATACAGTCGGCCTCACCTTCACGCACAGTTTGGGCTCTGGAACCCAACTCCTTGAGAGGGGCTGGACTCTCCATTTCTCTGGCATTGGCCGCGGGGAGCGGCGGCGGGCTGGCTGGCGTTGGCCGCGGGGAGCGGCGGTGGGCTGGTGTGGGCCTGCTCATTGCCCCACAGCTCAGCCGCTGTGTGTTGGAGTTCACCCCGGTGAACGAGAGGGTCGCGTCCCTGCACCTTCGGGTTGGGGACAGGTCTCTCACTGTGGTGTCGGCCTACGGGCCGAACAGCAGTGCAGAGTACCCGGCCTTCTTGGAGTCTTTGGGAGGGGTACTAGACAGTGCACCGACCGGGGACTCCGTTGTTCTCCTGGAGGACTTCAACGCCCATGTGGGCAACAACAGTGACACTTGGAGAGGGGTGATTGGGAGGAACGGCCTCCCTGATCTGAACCCGAGCGGTGTTTTGTTATTGGACTTCTGTGCTAGTCACAGTTTGTCCATAACGAACACCATGTTCGAGCACAAGGGTGTCCATAAGTGCACGTGGCACCAGGACACCCTAGGCCGGAGGTCGATGATCGACTTTGTAGTCGTGTCATCTGACCTCCGGCCGCGTGTCTTGGACACTCGGGTGAAGAGAGGGGCTGAGCTGTCAACTGATCAACACCTGGTTGTGAGTTGGGTTCGCAGGTGGAGGAGGAAGCCGGAAAGACCTGGCAGGCCCAAGCGTATTGTGAGGGTCTGCTGGGAACATCTGGCGGAGCCCTCTGTCAGAGGGACTTTCAACTCGCACCTCTGGGAGGACTTCTCCCGGATTCCGGGGGAGGCTGGGGATATGGAGTCCGAGTGGGCTTCATTCTCGGCCTCTATTGTCGATGCGGCTGCTCGGAGCTATGGGCATAAGATCTGTGGTGCCTGTCGCGGCGGCAATCCCCGAACCCGGTGGTGGACACCGGAAGTAAGGGATGCCGTCAAGCTGAAGAAGGAGTCCTATCAGGCCTTGCTGGCTCAGGGGACTCCTGAGGCGGGTGATGGGTACCGGCGGGCCAAGCGTGCTGCAGCCCGTGCGGTTGCGGAGGCAAAAACTCGGAGCTGGGAGGAGTTCGGGGAGGCCATGGAGGAGGACTATCGGACGGCCTCGAAGAGATTCTGGCAAACCGTTCGGCGCCTCAGGAGGGGGAAGCAGTTCTTCACCAACACTGTTTACAGTGCGTGGGGAGAGCTGTTGACCTCGACTGGGGACGTTGTCCAGCGGTGGAAGGAATACTTTGAGAATCTCCTCAATCCCACCGTCACGTCTTCCGAGGAGGAAGCCGAGGCTGGGGACTTGGAGACGGACTCATCCATCACCCTGGCTGAAGTCACTGAGGTGGTTGGAAAGCTCCTTGGTGGCAAGGCTCCGGGGTTGGATGAAATCCGTCCTGAGTACCTTAAGTCTCTGGATGTTGTGGGGCTGTCTTGGCTGACACGCCTCTTCAACATCGCGTGGCGGCCGGGGACAGTACCTCTGGACTGGCAAACCGGGGTGGTGGTCCCTCTGTATAAGAAGGGGGACCGAAGGGTGTGTTCCAACTATAGGGGGATCACACTCCTCAGCCTTCCCGGTAAGGTCTATGCCAGGGTACTGGAGAGGAGAATCCGGCCGATAGTCGAACCTCGGATCCAGGAGGAGCAGTGTTGTTTTCATCCTGGCCGTGGAACACTGGACCAGCTCTACACTCTCCATCGGGTGTTCGAGGGTTCATGGGATTTTGCCCAACCGGTCCACATGCGCTTTGTGGATCTGGAGAAGGCATTCGACCGTGTCCCTCGTGGTGTCCTGTGGGGGGGTGCTCTGGGAGTATGAGGTCCGGGGCCCTTTGCTAAGGGCTGTCCGGTCCCTGTATGACTGGAGCAGGAGCTGTGTTCGCATTGCCGGCAGTAAGTCAGACCTGTTCCCGGTGCATGTTGGACTCTGCCAGGGCTGCCCTTTGTCACCGGTTCTGTTAATTGTATTTATGGACAGAATTTCTAGGCGCAGTCAGGGGCCGGAGGGGGTCCAGTTTGGGGACCACAGGATTTCATCTCTGCTGTTTGCAGACGATGTTGTCCTGTTGGCTTCATCGAACCAGGACCTGCAATGTGCACTGGGGCGGTTTGCAGCCGAGTGTGAAGTGGCTGGGATGAAGATCAGCTCTTCTAAGTCCGAGGCCATGGTTCTCAACCGGAAAAAGGTGGCTTGCCCTCTCCGGGTGGGTGGAGAGTCCCTGCCTCAAGTGGAGGAGTTCAAGTATCTCGGGGTCTTGTTCACGAGTGAGGGGAGGACGGAACGTGAGATTGACAGGCGGATTGGTGCAGCTTCGGCAGTGATGCGGTCGCTGTATCGGCCCGTTGTGGTGAAGCGGGAGCTGAGCCGAAAGGCGAAGCTCTCAATTTACCGGTCAGTCTTTGTTCCTACTCTCACCTATGGTCATGAGCTCTGGGTAGTGACCGAAAGGACAAGATCGCGGATACAAGCGCTCAAAATGAGTTTCCTCCGCAGGGTGGCTGGGCGCACGCTTAGAGATAGGGTGAGGAGCTCAGTCACACGGGAGGAGCTCGGAGTAGAGCCGCTGCTCCTCCACGTCTAGAAGAGCCAGTTGAAGTGGCTCGGGCATCTGTTTCGGATGCCTCCTGGGCGCCTCCCTCGGGAGGAGTTCCGGGCATGTCCCACCGGGAGGAGGCCCCGGGGAAGACCCAGGACATGCTGGAGGAACTA